ATTCAAATCCCCAAAAAATAAAGCACACAATTTAAGCGTGACAAAAAAGAGCAAAACTAAAAACCTGTTAACCTGTTAACCTATAGTGCCTGACATTACGTTAATGAATAATTTCCACATGTTGAAATATATCGCTATTTGATTGAGTTCAAGTCAAAACTTTTTGGAATTGTTTCACATAATGTAATATTTCTCGGATTTGATGCATACCCGGGGATGCATACACATGTTTCACAATCAGAGACAAGGGTCTTATGACGGGGTCTTATATTTGGCAAACCAATCAACAAGTAGTATTATATTATCACAAAAGATAAATTACTTATCCTTTTTAAAAATATATGAAGTAGAATTACTTCATGTTAAAATACTAAATGTATTGCTTATGGTAATTTGGTCAGTTGTTTACACATAATTATCAATGTGCCAAGAGCGAGTAATGAGATTCCAATAATTGTCACAGCGCGTGTCAAGACTTTTGACATGGTCTTTGCACTGCGTTACACGGCGTGTGTCAAGAAGTGCATAGAGGTGTAAAGAGTTGGATTCATCGCGTGTCAAGAGGTGTAAATAATTGACACGCCTAGGAACTCGGCGTGAAAATACTAGTTTCTAGACGTGTCAAGATTTGGAATCCCAGATTTCACGCAGTGATAGTGCTAGGATGTATTATCAAATGAAAAGTGATCGTGAAACATATCGTGACAAATAATGATTCACTCTTGTTGAGCCAGTTGATTTCTACGGGGACCTCAGAAATGAACAAATATTATAACTCCGAGTTATAATTTCTACGGCGACCCTGCGGCCTGTAAAAAACTGGATACGCCGTACCAGACTTGCCAACCTCCCGTTTTTTTACGGGAATCTCCCGTAAATTTTTTGTTTTTCCGTAAAAAATACCAAACTCCCGTACCGTTTTCTCCCGCAAAAACTCCCGTAAACTCCCGTCCCGTATTTCTACTAAAATCTCCCGTAATTTTTTTAAAAATATGGCCGTAAAATCTCCCGTAATTTTGCTGAAATCTCCCGTTTTCTGGAGTAACTCCCGTAAAATCTCCCGTATTCTTGGTATAACTCCCGTAAAATCTCCCGTTTTCTGGTATAACTCCCGTAAAATCTCCCGTTTTCTGGTATAACTCCCGTAAAATCTCCCGTATTCTTGGTATAACTCCCGTAAAATCTCCGTTTTTTGCTGTCGAAATCTACCGTATTTAAAAGGAATTTGACAAATTTGTGACCTTGATTATTGCAGGCACGCTTCTTTCTTTTACTCAAAGAAGGTTGGCTCCCATGGTTCACTATCGATACTTTCATAAATAACTTAAAAGTACTTCATTCCCATGATTCAAATTGCTTTTCTGCGATCAGTTCGGTATAAGTTTGCACAGCAAATGTCCACAAACGGGGGCCAGTTCATATTCTGTCATACTTCTGTCGGGAGAATACATTTTGTTTTTATATGGCGCCAAACAAAATATTCCCGCAATATAAGGCGCATTATGGGTAGGGACTGCTGTGAAATAATGAACGTAAGTGACATCTATCTTAGATTATAAGTTCTAATTTATTAACTGCGCATGCGTCATAATAATTTCAACCAATTAAATCGCTGGATTTAATGCTCATAAATCTACCGGAAAAACTCCCGTTTTTTCAAAATCTAAAGTAAAAACTCCCGTTTTTTCAGAAATCTACCGTAAAAACTCACGTTTTTTCAAAATTTACCGTAAAAACACCCGTTTTTTCAGAAACCTACCGTAAGAACTCCCGTTTTTTTTCCGAAATCTACCGTAAAAACTCCCGTTCTTTCAAAATCTACCGTAAAAACTCCCGTTTTTTCAAAATCTAAAGTAAAAACTCCAGTTTTTTCAGAAATCTACCGTAAAAACTCCCGTTTTTTCAAGATCTACCGTAAAAACTCCCGTTTTTCCGAAATCTACCGTAAAAGCTCCCGTTTTTTTCAGAAATCTACCGTAAAAACTCCCGTTTTTTAAAAAATCTACCGCAAAAACTCCCGGTTTTTAAAAAAACTCCCGTTTTTCAGAACCTACCGCAAAAACTCCCGTTTTTCTGAAATCTTCCTTTAAAAAGTCACGTTTTTTTTAATTTACCGCGAAAAATACCTTTTTTAAAAAATCTCCCGTAAAAACTCCAGTTTTTTTCAAAATTTACCGCAAAAATTCCCGTTTTTTTTAAATCTCCCGTTAAAACTACCGTTTTTTCAAAAATCTCCCGTAAAAACTCCAGCTTTTTTTCAAAAAACTCCCGCAAAAACTACCGGATTTTGAAAAAAACTCCCGTAAAAGTACCGCAATTTTTTTAAATCTCCCGTAAATTTTTCATTTTAGGTTGGCAAGTCTGCGTACGGAGGCCGCAAGGCGAGCGTAGTTTTCCTACGCTCGCCACAGAAATACACTGATTTAATTGATCTGCGGTTGACGCACGGCCTCCGTACGACAAATGTGACTGGGGGTGTTAGATAATTGATACATTTGAAAAAGTAAGTTACTTCACTTTCTAAAAATGATTTGTATAAAATATATTTCACAATCAGTATACATAAGTTAAGCTCATTGACTTTCTCTTCGTTCCGGATGATACCTAATAAAATATTATTTTCAGTAACCTTTGATTCTTTATTTACTTTTTGTTTCCACTATTCAATAAATTGTTTCCGTATATCTTTTGTTATTCTACAGTTCACGAGCATGTGCTTCATGGTATGGGTTTCATCACACCATGGGCATTTGTCTGTCTGTGTAATGTTCATCAATTTTAACTTATTGTTGCATGTTAATGTATTTGTCAATATTTTGTACTGGAAACTCCAAATTTTTGTTTCATATGTTACCTTTTTGGCAAGCGTATATTTAGTATTTAATTTCTGTTTCCTTTACATCATTTTCTTGAATCCATTTTCTCAAAGATGTAGGTTTTTCTACCTCTTTTTCAAGGATTTTGTTATATATTGTTTTGCATGTCAATTGACTGGGAAGCGGCAATGTTTTAATTGTGCATTTGTTTGTCAATCTGTTATTTTTAAGATTTTTCCATGTTTTGGGAATAGCGCTAGTATACTCGCATATTTCAAAAAGTCTATATGAATGTTAAATTTTTGTTCCAGTTCTGTCTTAGATAAGAAGTTGTCATTACTGTCTAAGATATCATGAATTTTAACAATACCTGCTTGATGCCATTTCTTGAAGTACAGCATTTTATTCGAACTCCTATGCAGTGTCTCGGTATAGCCACTGCGGCGGGCAGATTATGGAATCCCCAAACTTTGGGGAAGATAGTCCCCCTTTTTTGTCACAGATGTACTTGATTTTCATACAACTTATAAAATATATGTTCTTTTATGTTCACCAATCATTATTTTGTCAAAATATTTCAAAATTATTGAAATATGAGAAGAAATCACCGCGGAGGGAATTCTGAGTAAAAGTTTTGTTGATAATAGTTTACCGCACGTGTTGATTATTAGTTAATACGCGCAATTCAACCAATGAAATTGTCTAAATTTTACAATCACGCGACCTGAGCATGGGACTAGAACCAATCACGTCTGTTGTTTATCACGAAGTTACCATGCTTACGATGAGATACCAGCCCGCCGCTGTGATATATCACTGCACGGGAGTTCGCATTTTATTATTGACTAAAATATTTTCATTATTCCATATGATTTCATTTTCAACATCATCCCAATTATTAACATCATGATGAATTACATGTACGTCTGCCAATGTTTCTAGCATTGACAAATAAAATTTAGGAATTTCGTTATAGTTTTGAAAATACTTTATATAGTAGTTACACTTAGTGAGAAACTCAATTCCACCATGTTGTTTAATGAATAAATTTGGAATTTCTTTCCAAGATGATTGTTCTTTGTCTATCAGTCGTTTTATCCAAGAAGTGCATTTTAGGGATCTATCCATTATGATATAATCTTTCATTTTTAATCCGCCTTGTTCAATTTCAGCAATAATTGATTTTCTCTTTACTTTTGGTGGTTTCTTTTTCCACACAAATTCAAAAATTGTTTTGTTTATTTCTTGTAAAATCTGGGGTGGTATGTGCATAATTGAACTTACATATGTTAACTGAGAAATACCTAAAGATTTGATAATTTGAATTCTGCCTATTATTGTAAATTTCTCAAGTTCCATAATCTTATTTTATTTTTCATTTCTTCAATTTTCTTTGCGATATTCAATTTTGATCTATCATCTGCATCATAGGTAAATGTTATTCCTAGAGCTTTAACACTAGTTTTTGATTTGATTCCATTTATATCTTGCTGTTTTTCCCGATCCCTTCCTATCCACATTATTTCAGTCTTTTCTTTGTTAATTTCTTGACCAGAACATTCACATTCAAAGTGCTCTGTATGACATGGAGAGATAAGTCAATATCTGTGTGCAAAGAAATAGTGATCATGTGAATGGGTGTAAGGCCTAATCTTGCATGATTTTGAGTATGAACACTAAACCTTTGAATAGGACCTGGGCCAACGATTATCCAGCCAACGATGACCCCATGGATTTAAATGATATATCAATGAAAAGAGGCTTCATAATACATTGAATGAAATAGATTTCATACGCACTTTATAGCTATTAAGGGTTGGTTCTTTGGTTGTTCACTCAGCGAGGTAATTCAGTTAGCTGAAAGGCTGGTGGATATAGTTACCGACTTCATTGATCATGTGACATCTGATCAAGGATCGATCATTCTCTCCTGATTTGACCTACACTGTACTTTATTTAAATCTAAATTAATTTAGTGAACCACTCTATACTTTCATGTTGACAAACCGTTTTATTCCCAAATGCTGGTCAGCTCTAATTTTTCAGAAGGAATTTCATTTCACATTGTAAAGTATCGTTTGAAATAAAATCTTAGCAACAATGTACATTAGTTTCATTTGAATTTAATTACTAATTTTACATTTTACTCAAATACATCAGATTCTTGACGGTAATTTGTTTAAGGGCGGTTCTGCTCGCCGTACCGATGCAGTTTCTGTTGATAACAATGATTTGTTTCGCGGGACTTGTCATATTTGCATACTACATGCATATAGGCTGTGATCCCCTTGAACAAGGCATTATTCAAACAGGAAATCAGGTAAAACATATTTTCTTAACATTTGTTAAATTACCTACCTTATGTAAATTATTGACATACGTTTTATGTTGAAAAACGATAATACATTTGTAAAATACAGTTTTGATTTTTTACATCGTCCATTATTTGTATATTATTTGATATTGTTGAACCAGCAACATTTTAGCAACTACCCCATTTGTTAATCAATGTGGTTTATTTCTAGATATTACCATATTTTGTGATGGATACATTTAGAAGCCTCCCTGGTTTCCCGGGACTATTTCTTGCGACCCTTTTTAGTGGGGCACTGAGGTATTCTGCTTTTTTCTTCTAGAATATTTAGACTTTTGACAATCAGAATATCATAATTGTAGGAAATATTTGGTGTAAAAATATTACGACACGTATTATTTGCCTAATTGCCTGATGTACCAGAAGATAGTAAGACAATTGAGATGAAAAGAAAATGTACTTGCATTGATAGATGTTCGGATTAGAAAGGTTTTCAGATATCTAGGTTTTACCAAAGTCTGAAATGGTAATCAAACAATGTTTTTGTATGAAAAATCAAAACATAATATATCTTTGGTGTGTTAATGGACGCAGCATTTTCGTTTTTAACTGTAGCTCCATATCGTCAGGTTTAAATGCTCTTTCGGCGATCACCTGGGAGGATTTCCTCAAACACAGGTTCAGACATCTAAAGGAGTCAAGAAAAGCACTCTGCACAAAGCTTTTGGGTAAGCATTGAGGATTCTAATACGTACAGACTTTTTAGTGGCATGATGAACAAAACTAGAAATATTCATTTTATGACATAAATCCATCGTAGATGCTCTCGAATGTTCTGAAATTGAATAAATTAATATATCAGTTTTTTTGTCTTAATTACCTCTTAATTAGATGCTCTGACATCAACTATTTACTTTTTCAGTTTTGTTTTATGGCATTTGCTCAACTGGGGTTGCTTGTTTAGCAATTCTTATAAAAGGACCAGTAATACAGGTAAGGTATGCGTTACACGTTTTGGCAATGTTAATAAATTGGTTGTAAATTAATATTATTGTGAAAAAGACTAATGTCAAAATCATGTCATGTTGCTCACGATTACTTCAACTTTTTATACGTAAAACTTTGCTTGATATTTAAAAGGTATAAAAGATATATAGGTATAAGTGGTATTTTCTCAACTCTGATGGAATCCCCTTTATCCTTTTATGAGAAATTCCGAGTGTAGTATATTCTGGCATAAGATTAAATATCTACGAAAATGAATGCAATTAGTTTGAATTTGGCTGCTTGCCTATTAATTCTTGCAGATTTTTTAATCTTTACAACCTCCTTACCATATACATATTGTATATATGATGTTAGTCATTCGAAACACGGCAGCATAAGTGAAGCAACTTTGTCTATCATTTTTTCTGTATTTAATTGATCGATTCTTGTATTTATAGGCTAGTCAAACTTTAGGTGGTGCGATAAATGGGAGTACGGCAGCCTTGTTTATTCTTGCAGCTTTCACCGTGACTTCCAACTGGAAGGTAGGTTATATTGTCTCCAATTCGACTCTTTAATGTTATTTATAAATTATTTTATGACACACTTTCCAAGGTTTTAGGTTTCTAAACATTAATCTAAAGGGGCTCTCTGCGTATTTTCAGCATATTTGGGACAAAAACTTATGAACTTATAGTTTATCCAATGGATTGATAAATACGTTATCATCCGTTTGACATACAAAAAACAGTTCAAACGGCCCACAACTGAGCTTACAATAAATTATCAAAAAAATATGTTCGATCTATTCAGTTTTTACATCTCAGGTTTTTACCAATGTAAATGGAAGATGGTGAAGTTATTTTTATCACATGATTCCTTCATATTAGATAAAAGTGTCGCCACCTTCCAATCAAGAGTTATTTAAAAAAACGTGCACTTTGCCAAAAGTGTGCATGCACTACTAAGGATCTCTGAAATGCTTTCAAAGGTTTTCTACTCGAGTTTTTTCGCTTCAATATAACTACGAATCAAGCTCTGTATCATATTTAATTGAGTGTATGCATTACATGTTTCATTGATTACTTAATCATTTTTTCTGCTAAACTATGCATAGTGCCCCTTAAAGTATTTATTTGAGAAATGAGACTTTGGCATATATCAAACACGTGACCTTGCATCATCAAGGACCATTGTTGTCTGCAAGTTTAGTTTGCACGTAAAGGCAACCATACCATACAATTTATTTCGTTCCAGGGTGCGTTAACGGGTCCAATTGTATCTTTCATAATCATCCTCTGGATCGCTATCGGAGGTCAGTCTATTAAAGGCCACAATCAATACTTGCCTCCCGGCCCAACTGATCGATGTGACATTTTAAATAGAACCAGCTTCTATAACACTTCCGTTTTAAACAATGTCACGTCGTCGTATAACGATACAATAGAAACGTTAACTGTATATGATGGAGATCTGTTGAATCGTTCCAGTACTTTGGAACCCAATGACCAGGAATTGTAAGTAGAACTCCAGTCACATTTACTCTATGGCGGCCTATCTTCTGATTCCAAAATCGATATAGAAAATCTAAATCGTACCGCTTATCCTTATATTTTATACTGCATATTTCTTTCGATTTTGGGAAGCTTGCATTGGCCGTCGCACGGTTACCGTAGATGAAATGTGACCAAGACTTTAGTGTCTTATCATTACCAGCAAATAACCTGTTAAGAATATCTGAGTACACGCACTTCATTGTTTTTGTTAAACTTGACTAAGTTTGCCAGATGATGAACAAAATATTTTCAAAGGCAGTTTATACAAGTGTGGTGATCAAAAACAATTAGAGCAATGTAACCAGTGTTCTCCACGGGGTAGCGAACCCCAATGAACAAAATATTCATGAATCTGTGCATATGTCTGATAAGGGCCATAAACCATTTACTCTACCCTTGATCTTCAGATAATAAAATACAACTATTGGAGAGAATCAGAGAAAGTATGCAATAATTGTGATCTAAAATTTCTTCAATTTAAGTGTAATAAAACCATACTTTGAAGATTTGAAGAGATCAAGAAGTCCCAATTTTGGCAGCCATTTTGAATTCCGAGTCCCGAATCAGAAAAATATATAAAAAATAAACATGGCTAAGTTTACTTTGCTAAAAATCCTTTGTTATTGTTGAAATTTTGTTTTACATTTCTTTTACAGAACTGGAATCCAACACTTGTATGGCATTTCTTATTTCCTGTACGCACCACTGGGGATTCTTATTGCCATAGTAATAGGTCTTGTAGTCAGTTGGGCAACAGGTTTGACAGTCACTTATATCATTATTTGCTTTGATTATTTTCCATTATCTTAGAATATCGTTTTCCAAAGGCAAAACCATATCGGAATTTTCATTCCTTATCATTTTGAAATTGATTATAAAGGATATATAGAAGATATCCTATGATTTTTGAGGGATACCATTTTTATCCACGGGTGGATATCGTCAATCTCCACGAGTGAGCGCAGCGAATGAGTTAATATCGGCGATATCCATGAGTGGATAAAAATGTGGCCCGAGAAAATCATAAGATATCCGATTTATCCTTTGGTGGCAGTTATTAACCTTGTTACCTTGGTAACCTTGTTCCTCCAAAAACCTTGAAACACTGGAGAATTTGCTTCTAAGTGAGGTTGGCTCATACTCACTGCCATCCTTTTTGAGAAACAACATTTTAAAACAACATTTGATTCAACATGTGTGAAGAATTTACTCAAATTGAGCATGTTTTCTACAAAGTGATTACATGAAGACATCTAAATCATCTTAATAAGTCCGATGATACTTGGAACTATATTCTGGCAGTTTAATCAGACAAGGCTGTTATTTGTCAAACCAATTAGGCGGTATATTCAAAACTTATGAATAAATAGTATCCGTCGGATACGATTAGAGATCACGTCATATGGATCGGATACGATTTCAGTGTCGTATACCAAAATTATATTGTGTTGTTATCCCCATATATATTTAGTATCCATGGGATGAAAAGAGGTAACATTTTCTCCTCAAAATAATGCATTTGGATATCCAAGGTTATTGTTCACATCGCAGACAGACATGTGTGGAATAGAGTATAACTTCAATCACCATTTAATACATTAATATCATATTAGAACAAAATTGACACATGCAACACACTCTGGTGCAAAAAAGGATATTGATTACATTTTCGTTCCTTATACCACGGATATAACATTAAAGCCTTACACTTTTCAATTGTTAGGTGGTGAAAAGGGGAGATACATAGACAAAGCATACATTTTCCCACTATGTGATGCACTCTGCTGCTGTTGTCCATCTAGGGTCAAAGACAAAGGCTGTGCATGTCGAGGGGACAACAACCCAAGACAAGTTAGTGTACTATTGTGTTAATGAAGAAAATATTCTTTCTGATTCTAATAAATATAATTATACATGATGAAATATGATAACAATATAAGATTGTACGATGATCGATTGACTCATATAAATATGTCATGTTATGATGAAAAGGAACTTGAATTTTGTTGTTTTATTATTATTCTAGGAAAATGGAGTCGAGAGAAATGTTCTTCGAGATACGAAATTCCAAAGTATAAAAACTGCTAATGAAGAATCCAGATGCTGACAGAAGTCATCAAAAGGGCTAGATTGAGGTGAAAGTTGCTGATATATACTGCAGTCTGGAATCGCAATGATACATGATGTATTGGGATTGTACACGAAAACTGTCGTGTACATTTGTACCAAGATTATCTGTTTCCGCAACCATCATGACTAAATCGTTTCTTTTGTTGGGAGAATTTTGGACGATCTTGAAGAATTGTCATTATTTTAACAATAGACCGGTCGATAGAAATAATTTCTGAATAAAGATGGCATGGTTGATCTATAAATATAATATGTGATTCTGTTGGTGCTGCCATCTTTATGTCCGCCCAAAATCTATGTATGTTACCGGAACGTCGTCTGCATCAGTTGTCTACCGATCACTCTAAAATTAAAATAGTACGACTTAAAAAGAAAGTTCACTTGCACTGCGGTCAGTATTTGGATGTTCAAAGCTTTACATTCCCTCAGGTATGAAAACAGATGATGTGGAAATCACTCATCGTGTAAGGCGTGTTGATAGGCCAACAGCTGGTACTAACCCTAAGCCATGTCATATCATAGCCAAAATGAAATTCCCCATCATGATCAACCATGACATCTCATTTCTACTCAGCCCAGATCATGTTTCAGGTGAAACAGAAAGAAGCTATAAGTATCAGAATGGAAGTTCCATGGAAGTATTCAAATATGCTTGTTTTTGTTGAGCTGATGCCCTTAAACAGGCAGCTAGAATATGTTAAATCAGCAGAGCTTGATCGAAAATGCCTGGAAAGGCGCTCAAACGGAAAAATGGTTGGAAAGCAAAAATGATTTTATGTAAATTGATTAAATCCTTTATACACCCTTTAGCATTGTATTAGCAATTTAAGTTTCAAACGATGAAATATGTAATTTGAAATAGAATATCTAAAACATCACCCTAATATCATTTTGTTTTCATTTTACACTCGCTTTACTCACCCTCTTGCTTTTTACAATATACACTCCCCTCCATAAGTTTGGCAACATTTTTCCCCCATTGAACTACGTGTTAAAGCCTCTTTACGTTTGAATTTTTATTTACTTAACCGGCGATGAAATAACTTTTATCTAATAGACATTGCTACGTATTTAATAATTGTAGTTACCACAAATACTTTTATAAGGTTTATGGGAAATGGGAGTCTAACCTTATTGTCTTTGGCTTATTCCAAAGCAAATACTTACATTTTCCTAATCTGAAAATTCATAACTGTTGTGGTCAACAAATATTAATTAGTTGGGACATATAAAAAGCCCAAACAAATTGGTTGGTGTTAGGGGATGGAGGCGGGATGTAATCAAAGTTTATGCTTACCTACACTTTGTTTGTTCCAAAAGTGTAAAAAACTTGCGGAGAATAATCATATAACTTTACTTTGAGTGAAAAGGACGCTATCTTGTCTTCAAAGAACTTCCGTGAGCTCTGATTGGCTGATCTGCATGGGCGCTTCGCTGATTGGTTCTTGGCGTGTGTCCTACTTCCAGCGGGAGATTCAAACATTTAAAAACAAACTTGAAGGCTAGACTCCACAATATCCCGATAAAATACATTATGAATATAATGTTTATTTATCTAATAGACATTGCTACGTATTTAATAATTGTAGTTACCACAAATACTTTTATAAGGTTTATGGGAAATGGGAGTCTAACCTTATTGTCTTTGGCTTATTCCAAAGCAAATACTTACATTTTCCTAATCTGAAAATTCATAACTGTTGTGGTCAACAAATATTAATTAGTTGGGACATATAAAAAGCCATCATAACGAGACCCATTGGGTTCTCGTTGGCCCAACCAATGTCTATCTTTCCACATACACCAAAGACTTGAATACTAGGAGTAACTTTTATATATAAATTTATTATAAAAAACTCTGTAAATGGCAATTTTTTAGCACCTTAGTATTACCGATTCACAAAACTTTCCTTTTCCACTTTTGAAAAATAAACTTCTGTTTCTCACATATAAAAATTTGTTTCTCCATACCAATGCACCTGAATGTTGCTATGCTAAAACCCAAGCAAGGTTGCAGCTTATCACTTAGAAATGTTTAAAATAATGAGTATGTTTAATTGACCACTCTAAGCCACTAAAGCATCTGATCACATTTTTTTACTATTTTTCAAAATCTATATACACTACTACTATTTCTAATTAAATTTCAATTTGGGAATTCTTGATATCACCAAGACCAGTCGTAAGACGTAAAAATGAACAGATCATCTTGAAATTAGCTTCTATTAAAACAGATTCATATAGCATCTCTTATTTTTCATTTTCAAAAGTTCAGAAAGTGTCCTCTGATCAGATCATTGTCTCTCGATCCAACTTTATTTCAACCAGCTTTATTTGTATATATTATCACTTCAAATATTTCTTGAATGCGTCTGTTTTCCATCTTCCTAATTTTCTAATCTGTGCATCTGAATATCCAAGAGATGCCGCATATGTCGCCCCTCCAATCCGGAAAGAATGTCCTTTGTATTGATCTATGTTTATATTGCATGTTGATTGTAGGGTATATAGCACCGTTGTAAATTCCTTTCTTGAAACTGATCTTCCAGACGCTTGTAAGAAAAGCTCCTCCCCTCCATTAGGGCGACTTTGTAAATAAGTCAGCAGTGTTTGCACCGGACACGATACATTTCTAGTTAACTGAGGGTAGATAGTAAGCACCTGACCCATGCCAGGCTTGGAATGTTTATAAGAGTCCATCTGTATATGAATGATATTTCTCTCATCATCGTAACGAACATTTTTCCACAAGATGGTGTGTCCTGTACCCTCATTCACCATTTCCCCTACCCGTAGTAGAGCGTAAAACGCTGTTGTAAACATTGCAGAGTATAGCACTCCTTCATAAAAATCACAATTCCTCTGACATGCCACAATTAAATTTTGTAACAATGCTTGCGTAATGGGTAAACGGGCGTTTTGAGGAGGTTTTTGAACAGTTAAGCCTTGTAACGTTTCCGACACGATAAAATGTTTTGTTGGGTCTGGAAGGCCTGCTAACTTATATTTGTATGCCAATGCGGAAATAAATGTTCGTACAGAAGCTGGTGAATATTTCTGTCCAAGAAATGCAACAAACAAGGATGTCAAGGGCCCATCTGCTGGGTAAGCGTTCAAATTATGCGTTCGCCAAAAATCTAATAGTAGTGAATCTATTTTATTATATGTTTTCCATGTACTGGCCCTTTTGGCCTTACAAACTAGAGAATCACGCCCTTTAATAAGCTGTCCGGTAAGGCTTCCTCTGACAAACAAGTCCGTTCTGTGTCCGCTGACCCATGAACCTGAAGGAACAATGGTATATTATCACGTGAAAGTGCATCGCTCGCTACATTGTCAACACCTCTGATATGTATAGCTTTAAATACAATATTGTTCTTCATTGCTATAAGTATCAATGGCCTTAAAAGTTTCATGATTTGCTTGTCCTTGGCAGTGCACTTATTTAAGACATATACCAGAGCTTCATTATCTGTACGAATTATCAATTTTTTGTTTGCCAAGTTTGATTTCCAAGTCATCATTGCCGCTAAAATCGGGTATAGTTCCAGCACCGCAATATTTAATCCCTGGTGATTCAAGGCCCATGTCCCTTGGATCCAAGAGTTATTATAAACGGCCCCAAAACCAATCATGCCCGCAGCATCCGTGTATATGACTTGTGTTCCTGGGTCTTCCCAATTAGTATCATGAATGAATGCTTTTCCATTAAAATCTCTCAAAAATTGAAGCCACATGAATAAATCTTCACGTATTTCTCTATTTAGACGTACCCGATGCCATGCTTGAGAGACCCCTTTTGATAAATCAGACAATCTTCGGAGAAAACCCCTACCCCCCGGGATAATTATACAGCAAAAATTCAACGACCCATGTATTTGTTGCAGGGTTTCCAGGGTTATCTTTCTCTTTTTCACATTGTCTTCAATTAGTTTTGTGTACTTCTCAATTTTCTGTAAGGGTAGTCTCGCTTCTCTTTTTAAAGCATCTAATTCAAAACCGACAAATGTCATCACTTGACTAGGACCTAATGTTTTCTCTGGCGCAAGTGGTACCCCCAGCAATTTGCAACAATTTAGGAAAGCGTCTAATTGTTCTGTACATTCCGATTTACTCTGGCTAACAATCAAAAAATCATCGAGCAAATGAAGAATATCTCGTATACCCAATTTATTCTCTGCTATCCACTGTATTGAAGAACTGAAAATTTCAAACAATTGGCATGAGTGAGATAAACCCATCGGAAGTACCTTGTCATAGTACCAATCTTCCCCTACTTTAAAACCAAACAGAAAATGAAAATCTGGGTGGATCGGAACTATTCGGTAAGCCGATTCAATATCAAATTTCGCCATATATGCCCCCGACCCAGCGTCTAATAACTTATCTATTGCCTGATATATTGTTTGATATTTGACTGTTGAGAATTCCTCAGCTATGCCATCGTTAACAGAGAAACCTTTTGGATGTGACAGGTGATGGATTCTTCTAAATTTACCTGGTGTGCTTTTTGGAACCACCCCCGTTGGGGAAACTACAAAATGATTGAATGGTTTTTCTGACAAAGGACCCGAAATTCTACCCAGAGCCACTTCTTTCTGTATTTTTTCCAATAGTTCCTTTGGATGTTCATAAGCAGAGGGTAAATTACGCATTGTCGATTTTGGCAAATTTCCAGCATATGGGATTTTGAAACCAAATGTGAAACCTTCCCTGAGAAAATTACTTATTTCAGGATCATAACCCTCCAAAAATTCATGTAACACGTTTGGTTGTACAGGAGTAGGAATAGAAGCTTCTAAAGACAAATCAACTGAAACCCTATTTTCTTCAATCAATTTACACAAAGGATTATTTTGATTTTTTGACAAATCTGTTGGAATTTTTGTTCTGTTGGCTAAAGGGTCCTGACTTCTGAGACTTTCCTTGCTTACAATCATTAGCTCTGTGTTTTTCATTGCAAACCCTGCAAACGTGCCTATACTTGCAGGAAGAGAACTGGCAGAATTCCCCATTGTTCCAGCGAAAACATACGGGTTGTTCTCGAAAAGTAGATTTCCCTGTTTTTTGACTGGCACCTTTTTGAGCCCCCTTGGTTGTATATGTTAGATTTGGCTGAATAATAGTAGCTGCTAATAACAGCTCATGGTTAATAACCTCCCACCTAAGCCCAGCTAATAGCTTATTTCTCCTAAAATCCTCATCATATTGTTGCCAATTTGCGTTCGGCGTTTTGCTTAGAGATAAAATGTGGCTAGCATATTTGATCAAATTGATAGCTTCATATGGGTGATGCCTAACATATACAGTCATGAAGACATAGAACGCTGTTTGCCAATCATTTACTGATGCTATTTTGGCTTTTGCTTCAATAGGTTTCAGAACCAACCTTTCTACTCCCTCCTCATTTTCACTTACATACTTAAATTCCTGATTTGAATCAGTTTTCACCAACAGTGTTTTCAAATCAACATACTCATTTTTAATAATTTTTTGGCGTACCGAATCAGATATATGAGTATCAAGCTGATTGCCTGTAAACATGAGGAAATTTGTGTTACCTATCCCTAACTGATCTGGTCTCCACGGGCCTGGTTGAAGCGGACCTCCTATCCAGTTCTGAGCTGGGACATTGCCTTGGCCCATACCAAGGTTCTGCATGACGCCTTGTCCCGGCCATTGTCCCATGGGATTTATTCCCTGTCCCATCATTCCTTGGTTTTGCATCCCTTGATGGAATACAGGCCCCTGGCCCATACCGGGGTTTGGATTGAAACCCTGGCCCATACCTGGGTTTTGTTGATACCCCTGGCCCATGCCGGGGTTTTGTAGTTGTCCTGGATTTACCTGGCCCATACCAGGATTTAGCATCATACCCTGTGCCCCGCCAGGGTTTTGTGGCTGACCCTGTACCATCACGGGGTTTTGTGGCTGACCCTGTACCATCACGGGGTTTTGTGGCTGACCCTGTACCATCACGGGGTTTTGTTGCTGACCTTGCGCCATCCCAAGGTTTTGTTGATGACCTTGTGCCATCCCAAGGTTTTGTTGTTGACCTTGTCCCATCCCAAGGTTTTGTTGATGACCTTGTGCCATCCCAAGGTTTTGTTGTTGATCTTGTGCTATCCCTGGGTTTTGGGGTTGAACTTGACCTGGTCCTGGATTCATATTTTGATTTTGGCCCATATTCTGATTTTGAGCATTTTGATTTTGTTGTCCTGCCATCTGGTTTTGTTGCTGTGGCATATGCTGTCCTGCTTGGCCTTGGTTGTTTCCTCCTTGTAGCATTTGGAGGAATCCCCCGGCTGTTGCGCCATCTAGCACTGTAAAAACACATGGTCATTACCATCAGTGCAAACCAATGCTTACACACCCAGTGTATAACATAGACTCCCGAGCAGAGGATTGAAGCCCTGCCAGCACTACTGATATTTTCATAACCACTTCCTTAAAAAGATTTCTAAGGAAGGTGTTATCAAAACATCCATAAAAAATATACACTGGGTGTGCTTACCAAATACCAAAAGTGCAAATAAGCGTTGCAAAAGAGGCCAATTAAAACATTTTGTATTTATGCACAATAACGAGTTTAAAACAAAAACTTATCAAGCGTGATAATGTGCACTTCTATACTTAGAGAGTTCTAAAACAAAATTTTATCAAGCGTGATCTAAAGCATTGTCTAAATAATAACAATGTAAAGCGTTCTACAAACGTATTACCAAAACATCCCTTAATAATAGAGAGTATCAAAATAACCTAGCATGACATAATGCATATTTTCCACAAAGGAAGCTAAAAACAAAAACAATCGTATTAAAAAGCCTTTTCTCCACAATAGCAAGCTTAAATACTCTTATCAAGCGTGATAAAGCGTGCATCCGTGATAAAGCCTGCATCTTCCAACACTAGATTCCGATTAAAATTCAATGTACACTGTGGAGCTAAAACACCTTATACAACTGGTTCAGATTTCCCGGAAATCCACTCAAACATAAACGTGTGCAACAATCATAAACCAACTGACCACATCTTTATACATTTTACCTGCGGGTATCAACTCAAGCCTGCGTGCACTGTCAAAAAAGCAGGAGATTAAAAACCAGTATTGAGCGAATTGATAAAGGCAATACAAATGAAGAAAAACCTCATACCAAAAAATTTTTTACCTGCGGGTATAATTCATATGAAAACATACCGATTCAACAGCGTGAATTAAACAAATGGGCCTCCCATTTATCTTCAAATAAAAAATCCACCTCTGAGTAGGGCCTGCAAACCACCACCGGCTTGTTTAATAGTCATATCAAATTGCGAACGTTGAGAAAGTAAAGCGACTTAAAATTGTTATACAAGCGTGTATTAATTACGTTACATCCATGTAAAATAAAACTTCCAACAAGCGTGTTGAGATGTCTTTTGTTTGCAAGTGGTAGTAGGAATGTAGTGTGGGGATGAGTAAGCATATGCATTAACATTCTCTCCAAGCTGAGACAATTCATTAATGAACAAGCGTGTTGGAAACTCACTTACAAACGTGCAAAGCGTGCATATTAAAAACCTCAACACTACCGTGCGAAAACACATACACAAACGTAAGCGTGCCCATGACAACTTACTTGTGAGGCCATGCATCACAGCTCCTCTCAGGGATCTCCAATACTTATAGTGCCCATCTTCGTTAAAATGAGTACCATCTTCTCCTATCATGTCGAGGCCATTCATTACCTGTCCCTTTGTCCTCCAAAAATAAGTACCTGTTGAGTGATCTAGCACCTGAGCTAATCTCCTATTTATTCTATCAACATTGTTATTATAGCTCACTTGCTGCTCCAGAGATCGTATCCTTGAAGAACGTGCCAGAGACATCCGTCGATGAAACAACTTGCACAGGATCACATTAGCTACTTGCCGCCGTATCCTATGAATCATGTCAATAGTCCCTTGGAATACTTCAGTAATTCTCTCTTCTGACATTGGAAAATTGTCAATCTCATTTCCAGCTATCTGAGCAATGACAACATCAAAATTATTCATCGATTTCCAAATACCACTTTCATTCAACTTTTTGAAATCTCCCCCTGGCACTCCTTCATATGTCAACAAACATTGGTTGTCATTTAAATCCAATGATGGTGGGCATTTCTTCAAGGTTTCATCAGAGAATGACTCACTAGGCAACTCCACCCTCTTTACCAGGCTGTGCCCGAACAACAGCACCCTCGGAGTACTCATTGCCACTTTCACTGCAAAAATCATTTTATTTTTTCAAAACGCAACTAACAAACTTAGGCCCATGTTCTAAGTCGCAAATGAGTTTGCATGTTCAACTTTCTAAAACAACAGCGGAGCATCTTATATATTGTTTCATTCCCCCAAAAACAACATAGCAATACCTTCCCGTCCAGAAATGACATGAAAACAAATATTTCGAAACATGAATATGGGCGCAGCCATCTTTTTTCCGAAAAATACCGACAATCTCCGAGAAGGCCGACAACCTACAATTGGCCAATGCCCGCTCCGCTATCACGCTTTAGTCGCGTGCCAAAACTTGCTTATGTAGAATTTGCCTTTCAGTCGATGAAAATCCCACTTTTAATTGAATGATTATATCCATGCGCCCTAGACCTAATTGTTATATTCCAAGTCTATCTACGTTAACTGAAAAGCGTATTATAGCGACTAAACGGAAAAGAATAACCCCGGGGAAGAAGTCCCCTTCAATTTCCAGGGAAAAATCGAAACGACAGACTCATCAATTCAACGTCGAACTACTTCGCTAGAAGAGATATCCTTAATCAATAGGCATATTTCTATAATAGGAACTACATCCTTCCCGAATGACATTCATATTATTCTCCATCACGACCCTAAACGACTCAAACTTGAAGGCAAACTTTCGAAAAAAACAACAAAAGAATTAGGTCAATCATGGCGAAATTTTCAGAGCGTGAATTTATTTCTTCCCATAACTGTCCCGATCCGCCAATATCACTATCGAAAGTTTGCCTCAACACGCGTGTTACATGTTTGATCGTAAGGGTAATCAAAGTTTATGCTTACCTACACTTTGTTTGTTCGAAAAGTGTAAAAAACTTGCGGAGAATAATCATATAACTTTACTTTGAGTGAAAAGGACGCTATCTTGTCTTCAAAGAACTTCCGTGAGCTCTGATTGGCTGATCTGCATGGGCGCTTCGCTGATTGGTTCTTGGCGTGTGTCCTACTTCCAGCGGGAGATTCAAACATTTAAAAACAAACTTGAAGGCTAGACTCCACAATATCCCGATAAAATACATTATGAATATAATGTTTATATAATATTGATGGAAACGTAACTTGACTTTATTTCCAATACTTCCAAATTTTCTCAATTTTTTTCCTTAATTACGATAGGTCGAAAATTGATGATAAATGAATTTTTGAAAATCGTCATGTAATCCAATGGGAAATGGAGGGTTCGGGGCAAATCAGAAATCAGGATATCTTATCAGTAAAAGATTCAGCAAAAAATATTTTTATATAGAAAATTGAATTGTCCAACTTTTTTTAACACTACGTGTTTAGTTTATTTGATGAATATTAAAGTTACAGCGCTTCAAAGTCATTTTTGAAAATAATTTTTCGCATCCTGTGTTATTTCAATGGGAGAGGTTTTTTGAAAAACAATTTTGACTTTAAAGCCCTATAACTTTGTTGAACCTGAAGAAACATATCAATTTTTTGTTAAATAAAGTTAGCAAATTCAATTGCCTGCCTAACTCGTATTTTTTGCAAAGACTCGGATAGATGGATATTCTGTCATATGACTTGCGGCAAACCTACCATTTCCCATTGCTTAACATGGGAATGTCGATTTTCAAAAATTCATCATATTCATCATCAATTTTCGACCTATTGTAATTGAGGAAGAAATTGTGAAAATTTGGAGGTATTGGAATTAATGTCAAATTACGTTTCCATCAATAGTATAAGTATTTTCATCGCAGGTTAAGTAAATAAAAATTCAAAGGTAAAGAGGCTTTAACACGTAGTTCAATGGGGGAAAAAAGGTTGCCAAACTTATGGAGGGGAGTGTAAGTGATGTCAGCTGGTGAGGGCTATGCTCTCTCCAGTTTCAGACTCCATGCAGCAGCCTCATGGCCCTTTCAAATTTGTTTTCAAAACTGATTAAAGTTAAAGTTTTAGTTTCAGAGGTTCATAAATGAAAGGTTGCATCTTTTTTATTTAGTACGTTGGAATTATATACTCTTAACAATAGACTCAGATCAGTAGACTCAGATCTATAGGAAGTGTCAAATTTGCAACACGTTGTATTTACCTACCGATCCATTCATTACATTCTCAATCTCCGAAAAGATCGGCGATATGTTATAAATTAAATTATTAATTTGGCCCTTGGTCCAATATTTCACCATATTGATTGCCCTTTAAAATGAGGTTATTCAGGTTATTCGGGATTTGAAGCGCAAAAATGGGGAGGGGTGCAGTTCTCTCAAATAATAAATGTGGTAAGTGATGAGGAATGGTATGAGTGTAAATATCGATACAAGTCTTTTAACTCCTTCAAATACTGTCTCCATGTTGTTGAGAAATCAATGACAGCCTCATAGAAATCAGGATTCACATAAGCATTGCAAATTTTTCTTTCAATAACATTACACCTGCCCATTAGCATTTGTATACTAGTATAGTTCTTTGTCAGTCGCTTATCTCCGTTTGGTTCATTTTATGATATTTGAATATTTTCCTTATTGTTTCTCGAGTTATTCGTCCTGTCCAGTTGTCAGTCTCGACAAAGCGAAACTATTTGAGCAAAACATTATGATATATTATGGAGAATACTGTATTAAAGGCGTTTATAATGTGATAAAGTTATAGATATACTTTACAAGTACACTATTCTGTACACTGACACTGAAGTTACTTTCGGTTAACTTGATGGTTTCCAGAAAACATAATGATAAATGTCTCACAGTTGTACCCAGATAATGACAAATGTCGCATACTTGTACCCAGCTGTAATGACAAATGTCGCACATTTGCAGCCAGGTAATGATAAATGTCTCACAGTTGTAGCCAGGTAATGACAAATGTCGCATAGTTCAAGCCAGGTAATGACAAATGTCGCACAGCTGTACCAATGTAACGACAAATGTCACAAAGTTGTACCTTGATTATGACAAATGTCGCTCAGTTGTAGCCAAGTAATGATAAATGTCTCACAGTTGTAGCCAGGTAATGACAAATGTCGCACAGCTGTACCAATGTAACGACAAATGTCACAAAGTTGTACCTTGATAATGACAAATGTCGCTCAGTTGTAGCCAAGTAATGATAAATGTCTCACAGTTGTAGCCAGGTAATGACAAATGTCGCACAGCTGTACCAATGTAACGACAAATGTCACAAAGTTGTACCCAGATAATGACAAATGTCGCTCAGTTGTAGCCAAATAATGATAAATGTCTCACAGTTGTAGCCAGGTAATGACAAATGTCGCACAGCTGTACCAATGTAACGACAAATGTCACAAAGTTGTAGCCAGGTAACGACAAATGTCGCAAAGCTTTAGCCAGGTAATAACAAATATCACGATAGCTGCACTCAGGTAATAATGAATATCAATATAGTTGCACACATATTATAACTAATATCACAAGAGTTGCACTCGGGAAATAACGATTATAACAATAAATAGTTGCACTTAAGGAAAAATGCACCTAGGTAACAACGAACATCACGCTAGGGATCAAATGACAAACATATCACGTGAACGCTGTTCGTTGCTTTGAATAAACTCAGATTCATAATTTCATTGACAACTTTGAATCTAAAAATAACCACTCAAAGGACCATATTGCAATAGTATGATACGGAAGAAATAGAAACATGTTCCTGTTTTCCATATACTGTTGTAGAAGACCTAACTTTTGTATATTTCAGAAAGGTATGTATACATTGTGCAGCAAAGCTGTGACGTCGTGTAATTTACAGGGCGTTTCAGCCCTGCTAACTTTTTCGAAAATGACATGACAGAGAAGCATCAAAATATCAAAGGCTGCACACATGGCACATACTAGCCAAACTACAAAACAATCCAAAATATACAAAATATATATAGGTTGTAAATGGAATTATGAATCTGACTGTAGTAAAAAAAAAATAAAAATATAAAATACAAAACGACAATTCACCCAAGAAGATTGTGCATTTTGTTCAAAACTGGATACAATTTTGAGCAAACTACTCAATCGGAGCAAATGACCGCGGCATTTGATCATCAATACATGTACATAACATTAGCAAATGAAACACTCCAGAAGGCACCAACAGATAAACGTGATACATGCAAGCGTATTCATATGAGTGAACAGTAAATACAACATGCTGCAAATGGAATGATGTCAAATTATCTACAGGGTAATGAATAGTACATGTAGAGTATGAATGGGTAAAATTATAGTGAAACGACCACGACACCTTTGAATGACAATAGCTGTGTACAGTACTTCCTTTTTGGGTACGCTCATTAGACCCCTTAGGATATTATAAAATTGAAGTCAGAATCTCTAATTAGCTTGTACTTTTAGCAAATGTTTTGTTATAACTACAGAATGAGTGATATTTTCCCACAAAACACGATTAATCAAAACGAAACTGTCAACCTCTTAATATTGATATTTTCGCGCGGATTTTTAGAGGCCATGTGACCATGACAGTTTTGACGTACCTTGGCATTAAGTTTTGAAGTACTGTACCTTTGCATTAATTCTGGCGCAAAGTTTGAACGATGTCGTCGTAATCTGTGGTTTGAGGCTAAACCAATGTTGAAATTACATTTAAGTATCACATCGCACGCATTCCAATCACACAAAGATTAATCTATTCAATGTTTTGATTTCATAATCTTGCAACTTATTGCATGCATTTTCCTTTCCTGACACGTTGCTTCCATATTTTTCAAGCCATTTTACTCTGCTTGCACGAGTTATACTTATGCTCGACATACCTGTCTTTCTTACCCTGCGCGCAGAGTCTAGTTATAAACTACCTGAAGACGAAGCTCTCTTAAAGAAGTGAAGTCGAACGAATGCAAAGAGTATCTTTCTAATTTTGGCTGTTGTGTTTTTCCAAAAACTCTGTTAATTAGCAGGTCGGTTTAATTTGCAAAATGTACATAAAGAATGGCATATCATTGTATGGTTAATTTATCAATAACCAAGTTCTCTATAATGTTTGATTATAATGGATGTCCAAAACGTGAACGGCTTTTAAACAAGTATTTTCTCGGCGATGGATTTATTTGATTAATTGAAATTTTGTACAGAGTAGCACAAATGTATCATCAGCCAGTCTTATAGATATACAAGGCATCAACGTGCAAAATGTCACCGATACCATGTGTTTCTGACGCCGAATTAACTTCGAATGCCGAATGACGTAAAACAAGCCCCCCCCCCCTTGTGTTACCTTCTGGATCCGCCAGTGCTGGGAGTGACATAAAAAAGGGATTTGTGACTTATTAAGCGAGCATTAACAGCTTAATACAATGTGTCAAGAATTCCAATATTAATTTAATTTAAAAAAGCTTGTCTGGGTGTCAAATTTTTCACTGTTGTGTGTATCCAAAATCAGTTTTGTCCATAATTTGGAAAGATTTCGTTGCCTTTGAGTGACAGTGATAAGGCTACCATCGACAAATGTTTCAAGAAGAAATAATGGGGAAGAAGAAAAGTAAAGGGAATTACTGTCATTAGGGATGAAGTCATAACTGTAAATATATCTAGGTGATATCGTTAGTAGAAATACACAAAGCATTTCCGATTGAAAAATGGCTTCATTTAGATCGATAAGTCCATTGATATTAGATATTTGACATGCTGTTTTTAATTTGACAATACTCGTACAACTGACACCTTATCACTTGTATATTTGCCTTGTTGGTGTTACCATACGCTTAATCCTAGGTTTATCTAATGTTGAGAAAATACTTGTCTGAAAGAGGTTCACTTTTTTGGGACACCTGATATAATGTTTACAATTTTTTTATCACAAATCTGGCAGTAGGAATATATTTGAAACCACAAAATCAACTGGTACCTTGTAAGTTTACAACTCCATTTTCTTCGTCTTTTTGAGACAAGTGCCAGTAAGCACATTTTTCTTTCTTGATGTGCACTGTTTATCTTCAGGGCTTCAAGAATTATCTGGCAGGAATCATTTCTCCAAGGAGCAACCTCAGTGCTAATTGCTTATCAGGTTTGTATCCTCAAACATATTTTAACTTTACTTATTAACAGACCAAGTGTTATGGAAATATAAAATCGGAACGAAACGTATAACGTATCAATCCCCAATATTGCATTAAATGTTCAGCTCCCTATACCCTCCAGCCTCTGTGTTTAACCTTAAACTATATATAACCGCAGCAAGAATTCTATAGCTGATTTTCTGATACAAGTTCGTTTTGGTATTTGGAGTTAATAAATGCATGGAATACATCATCTACTACTTCAGAAACTGTATACTGTACATCAAAGTCAAAATAGCCAGCATAGTATACAACAGACATGAGTATGATTCCCTTTGACACCAACGTGAAACTTCAAATTACCCATTCTAAATATTGACTTTGTACCTTCCGTTCACGTTTGCGTGAAAAAAGGCGCACGCTTAAGCGTAAGCTGCCGTTTTAGGCTATTTTTGAACACCATGAGCACTTTTCATAGACATTGCTTGAATGGATCTTTAATCAAATCATCATATCCCGTGTTTAATACTATCTTTATGATTATAATTTGAATTCTGTATAATGCATATCAACGTTTTTCAGATGTCTGGAATGACACAAAAGGTTACATTACCTTGTCAATTCTTTAAGAAATTCTAATGTGAGGGGTTGTACTCGTACTTATATACGTTTATTGGTGATATATCACCGGTGTCATTTAAAGTTATAAAATAGGAATTTTTAAGGTTGAATTACCCAATCTAAACACTTTGATACCATGGACACTGCACGGTATTAGTTACTTGAATGACCTAACATTGAGTCAATAGAGGGAAATTTTGCATGACACAGGTGGATATATAGCAACAGCAGAAATAGCCTATCAGCAGAAGGCTTTTATTTGTGCTGTGGAGTAGGCAATTAATCATATATTGGCCAGCAGTGTTCAGAGAAAGAATTTTATAATCAAAATGGGACTTGTGGGAGAAGCACGTTTAGGTATCGCTGATTATGTCGTCTTTGCTGTATTCATTCTCTCATCACTATCAATTGGAGTTTATCATGCACTTAGTGGAGGCCGTCAACGGACGACAAAGGAATACCTTACAGCTGACAAAAAGCTAAAAGTTGTCCCTATATCTCTGTCTTTACTGGTCTCATTCCAGTCAGCAATTATGATTTTGGGCTACCCAGCAGAAATGTACATGCGCGGAGCCCAGTTATATATCGGAAACATCGGAATGCTCATTGGTACCATTCTTACAACCAGGCTCTGGGTACCTTTGTTTTATAAACTTCAGATAACAAGCACATTTGAGGTAAGTTGATTCCATACATTTTACGAACCACTGCCTGAAGTATAATTTGGAGTAGTAGGATGTTGGGTAAAAAAAGTTAACGAAAAATCACGTTCTTTACATCCCGAAAAATGTCAAAACCCTACAAAATGACCGTAAATGTTATGTCACTATTGCAAAAAGTATCCTTCCGTCTTTTAACTCTGTTATTTACCTCGTCTTTTTTCAGTGATGCTTTTAGACATTCTTTACTCGGTTTAAGTCAAGTGAAGATGTGATGGTAGAATAGTATAGAATAGTTCTTCTATTGCAGACGATGCAAGTTCTATAAGTAGAGATATAAGGGTGAAGGTCAGCAGTTTCAACTATCCTTAATAATCAACAGTTTACAAATTAAAATAGCAAAAGAAAACGTATAATCTTAAACTCTCAGCTTAAGTTACAGTTAGAATGTCTAAAAATACATTGTGTAACAATATCCGACATATCAAAACATAATAAAAAAGACTGAAAAAATACAAGTTACGAAACCTTATTTACCACAGGGGCTGTACCAAATTACGCATGGCAGTTAATGCTCAGCTCAGTAAGTTTCTCACGAGGGAATTGGAACTAATTGATGTTTCCATCGTCTGTAACAACATCCAAAACAATTAACTAGAATGTGGATTTCATAGTTAAATGTAAAGAATTCACCTTAGATCGCTGTTTTTTCTCTTTTCCCCATCGCAATAATAAGGTTGATAATTAAAGTCACCTTTTATAACCTCTTACAACTATTTAGCATACATGTGTTTTGAAAATCATTATACATGCACTTCCAGTCAACCGTGGATAGATTTTTTTGCACTAAGTTATCATTTTTAGTGGTACATTAAATGTTCCATACATACCAAATAAAACAAACATTTTACCAAACCTGGCCTTTGCCCAATCTATCAAATGTTTTTTTATCATCTTTTTTTTATTGAATTTGATAATCTTGACAATTTATATTCGCTAAATAGTTACACTTGTTCTTTGTGTTGGCATTTACGTTTGATATGTATACATGTATTTGTGCGATGTAGCGAATCAGTTTGTTTTCCTTAACGTACATATAATTCAATTAATTATTTGTACCTTCGGTATTTAAATTATTAATATTCGGTAAATACCGAATGCCTCATTCGATAAATTTCGTTATTTTTCGATACCTTACTGGACTTTCAGTCACGTGGTATATTTGAACAAGGTAGAATAGCTGCGCGGCCATTTTGCAAAACTCGAGGTCACGTGACAAAATATCGAACAACAATTAAAGTTATCGAATATTACTTTATTGCATTCGGTAAATAGTAAATTATGTATTGGACAAAATATTGAAACGTATTCACCAGGGCAGCCAGGTCCCCGTGATGTACTTTACCCGTGCGTTAACACGTCACGCGTAATTGGTATAACCCTTGTGTTGACACACAATATCTGTTAGAATAGAACATAGCTTTTAATAGAAAACAGCATGCAGTTTAAAGGATGAGTCAGGAATGGGGCAGGATTTTCCATAAAACTTTATTTGCTGTATATATTATCACACCTTGATATGAATGTCATATTTAGTCTATGGTATGACTTCCGAATATGAAGGATCCGTTACACACTATAGCGCAGCAACATTTGAAGCAATATTTAAGGAGTTGCATATGTTTTGATTCCTTTAAAATACCATTTGCTGAAAAAACTTCCGGTCGAAAAATGTCTTTCAACGCAAGGGGTCACCTAACGTAAAAATTTTGTTTCGAACTTTTGTACATTTCATAAGACACAGACCGTTATTCTAAGGATACTGACAAATAATAGATGATCATAATGTAAAAATTTATTTTTATTTTAGTGTAAATATCGGCGTTTAATTAGTGTTATTAGTAATTACACAAGTATGCTTTTAGGATTTTGTTTGGTTTTTCAAATATGAGCCATTAGATTCAAAAGAATTGTGCGGGATATTTAGGTAATTCATAATCGCGAACAAATTAGTTTTCTAACTATTTAAAACATTTTAATCCCAGAATTTATCTATATCATCGCAAGGGGCCAAACATCAAATTATTGTTCATGTTTTATAGAACATAATACAATAACAAATATTTATATCTAATTAAATGTTACAGAGGTATTAAAATGTTCATATATTCCAAGAGCGTGTCTAATAATCAATTTGAGTTATATGCAATCGAACGCCTTACAATTCTTCCTCGAAGTTACCGCTGGCGATCATCAAGTTTTCGATTGTTGTTTCTTTTTTACCCTACCGCTGGATATAATCAAGTTTTAGGAAGATAATGATTTTTCTCAATCATTCAAGAAATCGACCAAGTCTTGATGGTTCACGATTTTATAAACAACTTAGGAATATCTAACAACGAGAAATAGAATTTGATCTGTATTCGCAATTAGTCAAGGAAGCGCAATATGCCCTCTTTTATTGATAATGTTCACCGCGGAATAAAAGTTCATATCTCAAAAAGTATTGAGACCTATTTTGTGAAAAATAAGCATAATTTAAGCATTTGTCATTCTAATATAAAAGTGATTCATTTGTAGCATTGATCTAATTTAAGAATAACTGCACAATACAAAACGCCGATACACTGATTGCATAATTTCTTTTGTATCGATAAGAAAAATAACCTCAAACTTATAGCTTAGAAATCTAAATCATTTGTTTAAAATCATTTTGTATTATTTTCTGTTTGATTGTGTTCTCCAAATTGTACTGAAAAAATCTTGGATTTTAGTTTTTTGTAATTTTTGGACCTTTGCTAATAACACGCATAATTCAGCCTAAAAACCGGAAGTGTATTAAACAGTCATAATAAAAATTATTTGGGAACAAATTATGTAGGTATGTTAATATACGGTCAAATGTCGCTGTAGTGTGCTACCAGCTTCTTTATTAGACGTCTTACAGATTCCATACCATGGACTTATTTTGCCATTCTGATAGTCAGATTATGAAAATATATGACATCAAAACTGTACGTAAAATGCATTTCACTGTTTTATTGCGTTAGTAAAACCTAAGGAATACGCCATACGTACTGTTTTATTGCGTTAGTAAAACCTAAGGAACGCCATACGTATTGTTTCACATTCTTCTCTTACATGTCATACTTAAGATAGCATATCATTAACCGTTTGATGACCATTGCCTTCAGCAAAGACCTTGGTTATTCAACTTCTGGTAGCGAAGGGTTATTTGCTTTCATCAAAGATCCGTCAAGCTATTAACTTGAAAATTGAACAATATACGTTTTTGACTATTTTAAAATCGGATTTTTTCCGATTTCTGTTTACAGTGGTCCTTGAATCTATATGTCAATAAATCTCAAATGAAATTCTGAAAATGCTATTTAAGTTTTGTGAAATAAGGCAATTTCTTTTTAGAAATACTGTATTAGCATAACTGAAACTTTAAATTTCAGCCAATGAGCATCTCTTATCTGTCTTTACAGTAAACAAACTTAGCACTAAGGTTGTGTCTGGCAGGGTGTGACAGTTTGATTAATAGCTTCACGCGGGTCCAAATCTCTGGCCCTTTTAACTACCAGGTGGAACTATCAGAATAAAACTAATTGTTTACCATTTCTAATGATTGAATGGATGCAATGATTCGATTGGCTGAGATTTTAGAATTTTGCCATTTGAACTTTGTCAATTAAACATTTATCTCTATGGAAAAATGAGGTTGTTCCCTCTCAGAGGAGCTGACCTTGATGGATCAGTGAAATTGAGAGAGAAATTATCACTTTTTGACGGACGGCTCTTTCCTCATTTTTGTTGTTTTTATTACTTTACTCATTCAAAATTGACACTATTGAAGAAGACGATCAATAAGACGAGTCTCAAACATAAAGGAGATGATTAATTGTTCTGTATGAATTACTTTCCTCACTTGCTCCTAGTATAAAAAGCACTGGTAAGGATTATTAAAGTCACTCTTGGCCTAGATTTTGTTAAGTCAACAGTTAATGTTTATTATAAAGTGGTACTTTAAGAAATCGAAGAGTTTGTCTTATCTTGAGCAAAATTAATAAAAATAGCCGAAGAGCATAGCGTAAAATATATCATTTGACTGTGAGTGTGTCATGCAACTGGTGGCAGCCCGGTAGGATTTAATATGATTTCATGAGAATTTCTAGAGATTTATAATAACGGACTTTTGCATGCTTTCAATGAAAATAAAAAAACAAATTCAACAAAGGAACTATTTTGGATTGGAACTGACTGAATTGATCTACGGGAAAGCTGATTAAATTGGAATATATAAATGGAATAAATGATACAAAATGTAAACAAAAATAGATTGGGCTTACTGACCAGTGCTAATTATCAGCAAGTCAGCTTATGAACTTTTAGTGACCCTTATTTTGTAATCAATCACGATCAGCTCCCCAGCTAACTAGGGTCAGTTATAGGCCAATAAAAGATACTGTATGTATATTGAGGGAGTTTTTTTAAAGATTCACTTAGACTCACAATACTCACAACGGAGACTAATCTTATCTTAAATAAAAAAATCTATTCTAGGTTTTGAACTTGTATGGAGTGATGACAGCCTAATTGTTTTTCATTACCCTTTCACATCTACAACATGCAAAGCAGAAAACACCATAAAACATGCAATGATACCAATGATACAGTTTGATAACATAATAGTGAGTTCGAGCTTGCAATGTTTTTCACAACTAGTAACCGTGAACGGAAAGTACGGCATGAATAAATAGTACTACTGTTTATAGTGCGCATACAAAACAAGCGCTAATTATTCTACTTCGTCAGATACTGTGAAGCTTCAGAGTTTCGTGTTTAAAACGAGAAAGGAGTGGTATCGATATGGAGAACTGAATTCAACAATGTTTTTCTCTTAAACCAATCATTGAAAACATTCTGTAAAAAAACACAGTATTTCATGTAATGTTGACTGATTGACAACAATTTAATGCGAAAATTATTTAGAAATATTTTATATAACTGTTTTT